GACTCACATCCAACCTAAGAGGTGACGAGAAAAATATCTGCTACATTGAGGAGGAAAGCAATATGACTCACATCCAACTCAAGTGGCAGTGGGAAAATATATCGATCACGTTAGAAAATAAAGCACTGTGACTCACATCCAACCAAAGAAATGATGAGGAAAATATCTGCTACATTGAGGAGGAAAGCACTGTGACTCACATCCAACTCAAGTGGTAATAGGAAAATATATCAATCACATTAGGAAGAAAGCACTGGGACTCACATCCAACCCAAGAAGTGACGAGGAAAAGTTTTGCTACATTAAGGAGGAAAGCATTGTGACTCACATCCAACTCAATTGGTAGCAAGAAAATATATCGATCACGTTAGGAAGAAAAGCACTAGGACCCATATCCAATCTTAAGAGGTGATGACAAAAATATCTGCTACATTGAGGAGGAAAGCTCCAGGACTCACATCCAACTCAAGAGGTAGCACGAAAATATATTGATCACGTTAGGAAGGAAAGCACTGGGACTCACATCCAACCCAAGAGGTGATGAAGAAAATATTTGCTACATTGAGGAGGAAAGCACTGTGTGAAAGCACTGTGACTCACATCCAACTCAAGTGGTAGTAGGAAAATATATCAATCACATTAGGAAGGAAAGCACTAGAACTCACATCCAACCTAAGAGGTGACAAGGAAAAATATTTGCTACATTGAAGAGGAAAGCGCTGTGACTCACATCCAACTCAAGTGGTAGTGGAAAAATATATCCATCACATTAGGAAGGGAAGCACTGGGACTCGCATCTAACCCATGAGGTGATAAATAAAATATCTGCTACATTGAGGAGGAAAGTGTTGTGACTCACATCCAACTCAAGTGGTAGCGCGGAAATATATCAATCACGTTGGGAAGGAAAGCACTGGGATTCACATCCAACCTAAGAGGTGATGAGAGTACAGAGGGTGGCGACCATTAAGGACATTACGCCAGGAAGAAAGGGAGACTATACCAGTTCAAGCTACTGCTAGGGACATTACGTCCGAACTAGATCTAGCCAAAAGGTGACATGAGGTTTGATTTAGTGCTAAGAAGGGAACTGGGCTCCAAAGACCCGCCCCGAATGCAAGGAGTGGAGAGGAGTGTGACACTCCAAAGGGAATGTGAAGAATTTCAGGATATTTTGTGCATAATGTGTAATCCCGTGGGGATGTGAAGAAAATTAATGCAGATAAAGATGGTTGTGCTGCACACACAAAGAGTAAGAAACTCCGAAACCGAGAGAATCCACTCAACAGAATCATTTTCTTTTCTTGTTGTTTTTATTACATTTAATTTTTCAAAATATGTCTTTAAAATTTTAGTTTTAGTTGGTTAATTTTTAAAAGAAATTTTTTTTGTTATTTGTTCATTTGTGATTATTTTTATTTGAGTTCTATTTTATTGTTAAAGGTTAGTTGTTTCGTTCTTCATTCATTGAAATTATGAACCAACGCATGGTTCAAGGCTTCCATCCATTGCACAAAAAAGGCAATTAATAAAAATGCACATTTTTGAGAAAAATCTTCATTAATCTGCTCCAATCAAGATGTTACAGATCAAACATAGGCTAACGCCTCAAAAAGGTACAATATATAGTCCATATCAAAGTACATCCAAAACATCTCATGTTAGTATACATTGTAGGCTGAGTATGTTTGATACGTATCATGTTGCTATAAAAAAAGTGAACCCTCTGAACATCTATATAAGGTATTACGAGCTCCTGATCGGGCAGACCTTCTAAGTCATGCTCCAGGACAAGAGTTCCCTTCGCATGTACTTAGAGGTACAACCCTCTAATACCTTGTACGGTAGCAATTATTCTAGTTTTGGGTCTGGCTGAAATCCATATGGTGCTTTGTTATCGTCCATCCTATGGAAGGTTATGGACACCCTACGATGTCGCACCTTTGGGATGCACTGCTTGGCGACATCTGCCCCATTTCCTTTCAAGACCAAAATTGAACCAACTGGTAGCGGAATCTCTACAGTTTCTCTGAACTCGCCAGGGCCGACAATGTAAATTTCTTTTCCAAATAATATATTGCTTTTGTTCATAAATGAGACCATGCAGAAGGTCCTCACAAAATCGTGGTGATCTATATGGGGAGGGATGCAATAACCCTCATCATAGATGTTGATGATGTAACTATTCTGGATGCAGGTAGCTGGAACTATGTCCCATCTGACCATCCTCTTGATCATCCACTTTATTAGAGGAGGTAGTGGATCTACCTGCTCATGTCTGAGGATCCTTGCTGAGGATCCCCGACGGATTTCCTTATCTGTCATTTGTAAAATTATAACAGCAACCGCACTGGTGATTCTTCCTTTTCCTCTCATTCATTTCTTCAGCTCAGAGTAAGTTCTTTCCATGAGAAGGCCTGGTCGGCCTTTATTCCTCAACTCAAAGATGAAGTCAAGAATGCTTCTTTCATCACTTTCAGAGAAGACCCTGGTATACAGCTCCAGGCCTTCCAATATGTTGACAAATCTTCCTCGGACTTCCTTATAGAATTCAAATTCTCTTTCATTCACCTTGCTTATTTTATAGTACTCCATCATGCTAGGAGTCGGCAACTATCACGGGCATTCCTCCATCTGGACATCGGCAAGAACCCAAACTGGCGTTGGCTCATCTGGAACATGTGATTCAGCATCTAAAGGGATGTATGACTCTGGACTCCATGTTATATACTCGTCTATCCCTAGTGGGACATATGGCTCATCCATCAAAAAATTTGTGGTCTGAGAACCGTCGGTGGTGGAGATATACTCCTCCAATGTACTGTAGCATTGTAGATGTAGGACATTGTAGTCTGGGAATTCTACAAATGTCCCTTTGGCTTATGTCCTTGTAGGTATCTTGGCGTTGCACGTCGGGTAACCCGTGCATAAGGCATCTGAAGTTGAAGGTGTCTCTGGCTCTGTGATGAACCCCGGGTCTTCATATGTGGTGGGTAGGCGGGAAGAAGTCTCTTTCATGTCTGGATCATAGATATTCCCCTCATGAATATGGGTGAATAAGTGTTTGTTTCCTTTCTGTTTTCTGCGGCTGGCATTTCTGGGCTGAGTCCTGTGAAGTGAAGCGTCTCGCAGTCGTTCATTACTGGCAGCTACCAAGCATCTGGCTGGTGTAGCTATCATGGATGGCAGACGGCTGGGCCCCTTCCTCAGGTCCTGCTCCATTATCATGTTCTTTCCTTTATGTGATGCATTGCCTTTGGCATGCATTGCCTTGGGCAGCCACCCTCAGCAGTGAAGGCAATCCCTCCTTTTCTCGACAGCTGATTAAATTCATCAAAGGATGTTTGTAGTCCGAATCGACTTGGTTAAAGTCCATGTTGAAGTCTATGGTGCCACCCTGTGGTACCATTTCCTCATTCAGTGCGAGACTCCAGCCATCTTTGAAAGCAAAGATCAGCCTTTGTCCCGACATTTTTCTGCATACGATAGGAAAAATGTCAGTGGTCCGAAACTTTGCATAAGCGTGAACAAGAACAAAATAAAGTATTTATTAAAGGAAACTTTAGTTTATTTTGGTGAAGAGATCGTTTATTTATGTGTGAATTTTGTCTAAGTTAGTAGAATATTAAGTTCAAAAGTAGAAAGGAGAGATTTGGAATTTTAAATTTTTTCTCAAAATTTTCATTATATTGAGGTTGATTACAAAATTTGTACCAGGTCATAGACATTTGTCCACATATATAACCCCAAAACAATCAAAATTTCAAAGTTTCAAAGCAAGCAAAGGAAAGCGGTAACAGGTTGCGTAGTAGGTTTTCAGATATCGTCTATTTATTGGTAACATGGGTCTTTCGCCCTGGAAGTCCACTAACTGGTAGGCTCAACAACAAATGGTCCCTCCCAAGTTGGCTCAAAATTTTCACCTATTTTGTGGCGTGCAAGAATAAGCCTTTTGAGCAAAAGTATGAGGCCACCAACTTTGAATGTCCTTGGGGAGACTGATTTGTCATGAGCTTGTATCATCTTTGCTTGGTAAAGCTCCAAGTGTTGTTGTGCTTCTAGTCATTTTCCCTCGAGACATTCCCGTTCTTCAAATTTGAGTTTTGCACTTTCTCCTGTTGTGAGTTGGTTGGCAAAAACAACTCGAAGAGACGGTGTCTGGATTTCTATCGGTAGCACGACCTCAGATCCGTACACCAGCATATAGGGTGTACACTGAGTGGGAGTCCTGAAAGTTGTCCAGTAGGCCCACAAGGCTTCTAATAGTTTGTTGTGCCAATTCCTTTTGTTTTCATCCAGTGTTTTCTTCAAAATCTGTACCAGTGTTTTGTTGAAGGCTTCAGCCAGACCATTTGCTTTGGGATATTAAATCGTAGAGTATCTTCAATCTATCATGTGTCTTTTGACAAAATTATTGATTTTGGTGCTTTTGAAAGCTGTTCCATTGTCGAGAATTATTCTTCGCGGTGCTCTGAAATGGTAGACAATTTGGCTTTTGAAGAATTGAAGGACGTGTTGTGTTGTAACCTCACGCAACGGTACTCCCTCTGCCACTTTGGAGAAGTAATCTATAGCGGCGAGTATAAACATGTGTCCTTCAAAGATGGAGGGTCTATCGGACCTATTATGTCCATGCCCCAACACTCGAATGGTCACGAGGTAACAGTTGGGTGTAGCACATTCAGAGGCTGGTGTAAGACCACCCCATGCACTTGGCATTGGTGACATTTTTTGGTTATATCCATGCAATCAGACATCATTGCTAGCCAATAATATCCGAGTCTTTTGATCTTCATTTTCATTTGCGGCCCTGACTGATGAGCGCCACACAGTCCAGCATGTACTTCTTTGATAATTATCTGTGCTTTGGCTTTGTTCAAATATCGTAGCCACATCTGGTCGAATGATCTTCTGTAGAGAATGTTTCCCACCATGGCATAAGACATGTCTCTTCTTATGATATGATGTGCTTCGGACTTGACTTCTAGCAGCTTTCCACTATGAAAATATTCTATTAATGGCTTTCATCAATCTTCATTGATGTTTGCAACTGTATTTATTGCTTCTTCTTTCCTGAGCTTGTGTAGAGTGTTGAGGTCAATTTGAGACAAGACATATATTCCTTGTATTGTGATTTCAATGGAATCCTCTTGGGGACATGCCATTTCCTTAGCAAGTTTTGTTAGAGCGTCGGCATTGGCATTATCTCCCCTAGAAATCCGGTAGAAAGTCACATCAAGAATCTGATCCAGCAGCTTCATTGTGTACTGATGGTACTCTGCTAATCTTGGTTTCAAAATTTTGTATTGTCCGGCGACTTGCTGGATGACGAGTTTAGAGTCGCTATAAATGACAATGTTCATTATATCCATTGAGATTGCCACTTCCAACTTGGTGATTAAAGCTTCATATTCTACTTCATTGTTGGTGCACGACACTGTTAGCTTGTATGAGAACCTCAACATACCCTTATCTGGCGTGATAAAGATCAAATCGATCCCTGATTTTCCTAGTATAATTGTGCCTGATCCTTTGTCTTGTCTGACTGACGAAGCACCGTCGAAGTACATCTCCCAGCATTGCGCACTGGAAAATTCCATTTGTAGTTTTTGCTCGTCTGGTAACTTGTCATTGAGAGAGGACTCAGCTGACAGTGGGTGTGCAGCGAGAAAATCTTCTATTATATGTCCCTTAATAGAACAGAAGGGAACAAAATTTATATCAAATTGCAATAAGATCATTGACCATCTTGCTAAACGTCCGGAGAGTGTTGGTCGGGTCATCAGATATTGCAACGGATTAACTTTCGAGATTAGGGTAATCTTATGAGAAAGCATGTAATGTTTAAGCTTTTGAGCGG